AGGCTGCTGGACCGAGGGGTCCTTCTTTTGAGCTTGGGCCTTGCCCTTCTTTTTCTTCATAGCAAAGAGCTTCCCAGCGTCCATGTTCGCACCTGCAAACGACAAAAAAAAACAGTCAGATCGAAGGGAAAGAAAGCGCGAACCAAAAAAAAATAAGGAAGGAAAAAATCCTAAGTACAAAATAGGGAGCCCCCGGCTACTACCTCCTGCTCCCTCGAGGGCCTTGTCCAACACAGGGTACTTCTCGTCTGTCTCACCGAGGAAGCGATATCTCCGGAAGCCGAGGGCGAAGAGTTCCTTGTCAACGGTGTAATCTTTAATGGACACTTGCTTCGTGCAACCCTCCGGGATCTTGGCTATTATCAAGCCATCCTTCTCAAGAGCAGTGTTTCCAACCTTCGGATGCCGACGGAAGCGATCCCGAAGTTCCATCGGAAATGGGCTCTCGGCAACTCTGACATAGCACCATCGCTCCTTCCAGCCTTTATTGGACGAAGGCGCCTCTGTAATAAACTTCCACCTAGCTATCTGTTGCAGGTTGGCGAAGCCCTCGGCATTCGCGTGACCCCCTCGGCAGAGGTTGAAGCTCTGGAAAAACAAGTCCGGGCTGGGGGTCACCCCTCGGGCCCGGCAGAGGTTCAGAAAGCCCGCCACGTAGGAGTGGCTATTGGGCGTCAATTGGCAAGGGACCAAACCCACGTACCGAAGGTATTCCCCGAAGGAATGGGTGTAGGGGGAACCGGAGCCCCATCGATACCGACAGAATGTGCACGGCGATGCAGCCCTCGGGAGCCCGGGAGAGCACATCATCAGGACCTGGCGCCACCACCACAGCTGAAGGCCCCACGTGCAGCTGAGTGACGTAAAGATCTTCCCGGTCAGCCTTCGACCCTATCTCGAGGGCAGCAGTATTCAGCCAGGAATACCCCTCGGGCACATCGATGGGCTTTTCTTAATCGGCAGCAATGCCCTTCTTCTTGGGGGCAGCTTTCTTCTTCTCCTGTTTTTTTCCGGGGGGCACTCTTACCGGTGTCGGGTTAAGGGACCGAGAGCTCCCTGCCTCACCAGCACCACGAGGGGGGGGGGGGGCACAACAATGGTAACCTTCATCCTCTCCGCGTGTTCCTCCTCCGCAACCTGAACGGCGAGGGCCATCTCCTCGTCTTCAATGACCTGCTCGAAGTCCTCAGCTTCGACTTCAGCTACGAGGTCCTTCTGCACCTCCATGGCCATCACGGCATCCTCCTGGGCCGAGGGTTGCTCGCTCGAGGACCCCACATCCGAGAAGCTCTCCTCTTCCATCGAGGGATCCCTCGATATGTCTTGAGAATCACTTTGAGAAGACATCGTTCCACTAGGTCGAGGGCTCGGAAATGCTAAGTGCTCTAAGTTACGACTCCTAAATCTAAGGCCACTAAGACGGCTAGCTAAGAAGGGAGAAGGACGAGTGGGGAACTGACCTTGGAATCGAGGGTAGGAGTTTCTCTCTCTAGAAATTTTGGCAGAGCTCCGCTAACACAATGATCGCATAAGGGGGGAAGTGCTCTGGCCCTGGGGTATTTATAGGCACCTGGATCCGGGCTTGGGCCTGGAAACCGGGCCTCCGGTTGAACAGCCATCATTACGAACCGTCGAACTGCCCAATCAGTGACGCCCGCCCACAGGCAGCCAACGAGCACGCACCACGTGGAAGCCCCCCCCCCCCCCCCCCCCACGGCTATATTTTTTGACGTTAGATATTCCAACGGCTATATTTACAACGGCTATATTCAGCAGACCACTCCTTCATCAACCAAGAAACTAGCCCTCGGGCTTTTTACTTCACTCCACTTCATCAAGAGGAGCCCCCGGGTGCACTTACCCAGAGATGCTCCCGGTTTATGCCCCTCATACTACATCACAAAGGCCTTCGGGCTTACTCCTTCAGAAGCCCACGGCTTCATAACGGGCACACCCCTCGGGAACCATCGGCCCTCAAACACATTGAGGACCACGAAGCCCCCGGGGGAGCACGCCTTCATCAAAAGGTGCCCCCCCACTCACCAACAGGCAAGGGACCCCTCGACAACACCGGAAACATTACCCACATTCATCACGCCCTCATTCTCATAATTCGGGGGCTCCCCCCTCGGCATCTCTCAGGATAACAACAGGGACCCTTCGAGAAATCAGCACGCGTGCCTTCAGACAGAGATAGCCTTCGGCACAAAAATGGCCACTCATTTCAGGCCAGGATTTTGCCTTTTCGACTCATCATTGGGGGAATTCGGTGCACTCTTTTTCCCTCATTGGAATTTTTTCCCACAGGGTTTTTCCAATGAGGTTTTTAACGAGGCATCCCCCCAAAATGAAACGAAAAGCGCCACCCCTTGGCTTCATGTTACAGGCAGACACTACTCTACTCCTTTTCACCACTTTGCAAGTGCCTCAAGGAGTGAGGGACTGGAGGACCCCTCCGGGAAAATCTCTCAAAATACAAAAAATGCCAAAAACTCCCACAAACAACGAGCATGATCCCTCAAGTCCCGGAATGTGGGTAACTGAGGGACTGCCCTCGACTGAAACGTGGACACAACAAACTACTCACAAACTCTACAAATTACAACGGAACAACACCAAAAGGGCAAACACAGATTACTCCTTTTCCCTCAAGTACCTTTCGACAAAAGGAGTGAGGGACTCCTGATGGAGTATATGGCCCAGGAACCCCCGGCCCATAGACTCCTACTATTCTAATGGAGGTCCAATAGGCCCAGGAAGCACAACAAGCCCAGATCGCGGCGCCCCAAGTACTAAGCAACCCAGGTGGCACACTAGGGGTGCCTTCGGCCCCCTGACCGAAGGCTCCAATTCTCACAGGATGGCCAAATCAAGAAAACAAAGTTACTGGGAGAAAACCGTGAAAATCAGTAGCCCTCGGCACCTAGAGCCCTCGGCACTAAGGAGGTCCCCGGTACTCAGAGCCCTCGGCTAATCATCTACAGCCGAGGGCACCTTTTCCGACATAATATCCGCTCCACATGCGCAGGGATCACCGTACCAAGTACGACGTCCCATCCAACAGCCGCATTAAATGCGGCCACATGCAATTGCCAGCGCCAACCAGTTGAGGTGACCCCTCGGCCAATGGATGTTTGACACGTGTCCCTATCTGGCATTTATTACTACTATAAATAGCACCACATTTCCCCATTTGTAACCCAGAAGCAAATACGCTGAATACATTTCTAATATACTCTCTCTCTCTCTCTACTTACTTGCTCTGACTTCTCTCTAGTTATTCCCCGTAATAACCTCTCGGATAAGCTACCCCCGGGTATACTATCCATCAAGTATATCCGCCCATATTGGTTGTCATGTTTCAAATTGACACGATTATTAATAAAGTGATTTGAAAAGTAAAAGTTGTGATTGAGATTTGTGTAGAATAAAGTGAAATAATAAGGATGACATACTTCTTGCTAAAAAAAAGAAACATGACATTCATTTTGGAATAACCTAAAAAGGAAAGTATGTTAACCAAAATGGAACAGAGAGTATTATTTTATTCATATCCAAGAATTTTAAGAATGATATATTACTATAACTTCAGGCATTTATGTTTTTAGAATTAATTAATATAGGGCCACATAGTCACCGATAGGCATGGACCAAGCCCGGGTCGGGTCGGACCGGGCTCTGGGACGAGGCGAGACTAGGGTTTTGGGATGAAGGCCCGGTACCGACCCAGGTTGGTACTAGGAGTCTGGGACTGACCCGGGTCGGGTCGGGTTTAAGTTTTTTTTTTTAATTTGTTTTTTAAAATTTATTCCTACCCTCCTCCACCCACCCCAAACCGGCAAACCCCCCAAACCACCCAACCCACCCGCCTAGCAGCCATTCAATGTTCTAAAAGGCGCTAGCCACTAGTCGGGCACCAGCCCAGCGCATAGCGCCTATGCGATTAGGCGCCGGATTAGTCGGAAAATAGAAATTGCATTTTTATCTATATTTTGCATAGATATGATAAGTAATATTGTATTCTTGTGTAAATAAAATACATATATACACATACATTAACAAACATGAATGATAGGATTATCACATTTAATCATACATACGTAGTATATGATAACTAAACACTTAACTTCATTATGCTATAAATATAAATAATACTCCCTCCAGTCCTAAATAAACTTCGCATTTTCCTTTTTGGGTAGGTCCAAAATAAACTTCACACTTCTTCTCATTTCCTTATTTGGCAAATTGTCTACATCAAAACAGTGCAAAACACTGCCAAACAGTGTCACAACAGTGTACTCTACAGTAAAGTCAAATTTATTTCCTTAATTTGTGTGAAGTCAAAGTGTGAAGTTTATTTAGGACCGGAGGGAGTAATAAAATTTAGGCATATATACAAACATATATAGTCTTATCTTAATTTACATCTTCATTTCTTTATATATGTGGCTAAAGTTAAAGTACTTATATCGCTTAGAAAATTAAAATTGAAAAGTAAAGTAATGTTCGGCGAATCTAGATGGCATAGACGACCGATTAGACGCTCTGGGCGGGCAACTAGGCGTCATAGGCGGCCGACTAATTCACCTAGACGACAAACCAAATAGTCGGAACGCCTAGATAAAAATCGAGGCGTCCGACAACCGACAAGCGTCTAGGCGGGGACTAGTCGAACGCCTAGAGCGATTTTTAGAACAGAGGCAGCCAATGAATGAGAAAAAAACAAAATAAAAAATTAAATTGGGCCTGAACCGGTCCCAGACCGACCTGGGCGGTTCACATTTTGCAAGGCCCATAACCCGCCCTTCTTCCACCCGGTTCGGGCCCCTGTCCCGGTCCCAGTACCGCCCGGCCTGGCCGGGTTGGGCCTGTACAATACCAGGGAGGGCCGAGTCCTGGGTCAGGTCTGTCCCGGTTCATCCCTAGTCACCAAGTAATTCTGAGTACTCGATTCTACATTTCTACTCACTAGTCAGCCCTTGGCCAAGTTGCTACCCATATGTTGATCAGTTTGTTATGTCTGTATTCTCGTGTATATTTTGATCAGTTGTTCTTCGGTGTATATGTGAGTATTGCAAATAATTCAAGGATTCGTCAGTTTGTTACTGAAGATAACATGTTTGATTCAAATTGTGGACATAAATGCTCCTTTGAATGTACGTGCCCACCAACAAATTCCAAGTAAATAAACAAGAAACAAGCAAGCCAACTCGTAATGACCAAGAAACAAAAGAGAAACAGCATTTGAAAGGAGGGTGCCACTATATGGCCTCTAGAGCCTGAAGAACATCAGCTTTCAAGTCTTCAAAGTCCTCCACCCCAAAGCTGAACCTAACCAAGTTGTCCATTATCCCATACTTGGCCCTTTCTGACTGTGAAAGATCCCTGTTTACAACCCCAACAGACATGAATGAGATGGCCAGAATATGAATTTGCGAAATCACATTCAACGAAAGATTTGTATACCAATAAGACATAATGGCTGGCTGGTCCACGATGCTCTCACACCCGCCAAAGGATGGGGCAATATATGGAATTTTCAGAGCATCCACAAATTTTGCAGTGGTCATTAGGTCTCCATCAATCTAGTCAATGATTTAGTTATTAGCTTTTCATACTCCCTAAAATGCATCTCATATGAGTTGACACTGAATAAGTGATTGTCTGAGGCTTAAAAGATACAAACCTCGAAACTGACTACACCACCAAACCCAGTCATTTGCTTCTTCCCAATATGATGTTCTGGATGGCTTGGCAAGCCCAGATAGTAGACACGTCTCACCTGCACAATTCATCATCTTTTAAGATTTACATGGTCATGCTTGAACACGTTTAGAATGTAAAAAGAATCTCATAAGGATAATTATAGGATAGAAAAATTCACTTGCATGACAAAGTTCTTTGGTCACACTTTGTTAAGAAATATCTGATCTTATTCAATCAGACCAGATGAAATAATCTTTTTTAATGATATTCAAGAAATTAAGAAAAAAGACTTGAAAAGATCTACTCCGTATTGGCAATACCTTAGGATGGGCCTCCAAAACTTCGGCCATCCTTGATGCTGTTGAGTTTTGTTGCTGTACACGAAGATGCAGCGTCTTCATGCCTCGGATGATAAGATATGCAGCGTTCTAACATATCAAGTAGAGCTATATAAGCAGCTGAGTTACATACTATAAATCTTGCAGATATAAAAAAAAAGTAGTGTATGACAAACTTATGCACCATTTATACTTTGCACTTTTAAAATTACTGTTTTCTTATATAGCTAACAAATACTCTGGTAATATATTATCTGTATAGATCTATGTATGCATGGATGTATATGTTTGTTTACATATATATGGAGGAGTACACACGCATGTAAAGGATGCATTTTAAGTGAGAATGACACTTCCCCTGCGAGCATTGCACTTTTTGCATTTTTTTATTGGACCTTTTTGCAGTAGCAGAAAAAATCATTATATGTACAAAACTGCCACAGCATTTTGACCAGTTTTTTCTGTATGGTTGGCCTTTTTAGATCTCGAAGATCTTGAATATAGTGAACCATATTCATTCTCATTTCTCTCAAAATATGTGATTCTTACTTGAACCAATACACACACTTACTGGATTGAGGGTTCCCCCAAGGATATGATGCAAGTTACGAACTACTGAAACTAACTTTTCAGGTCCACTGATGCATCCAGCTAGGACCTGCAACATGAAACAGGATTGGGTGAGACAAAATAAATCAGGGCATCAAAGGTAGGAGCGATTGAGCAAAGTAATAAGAAGTCTAGCTAAATTCAGCACACATACATCATTATGTCCCCCAATGAATTTTGTTGCAGAGTGAAGGACAAGATCAGCCCCAAGAGCTAAGGCCTTTTGGTTGAGAGGAGTCGCAAATGTTCCGTCTATACAAACCAAGGCACCTTTGTCATGGCAAAGCTTGGAAACCAGCTTAATGTCAACGCACCTGAATAACGGATTTGTTGGGGACTCTGTAAAAAAGAGGCTCACCTGAAGCACAGAAATCTCCACCAATCAGTAAATACCGACTATAAATTAATCTTATACTTAAAAACAAGTTAAAAGGAAGCTGATATTGATTGGCAACACCGACTTTATGTGTATGTAACGCAGACTCCAGCCCATTCATATCAGCAGGGTCAATTACCGAGGCCTGCATTAAAAAAATGACACATTGCAGAAGATTGAATATGTGAAAGTAATGCTGTAGAAATTTGCAAGAAGTGATCTTGTAAGTTGTAACCCAAGGCTCTTCATCTCATGATCATTCAGAGTATCAGAAAATGGGGTTCCATCTGGTAGATTAGCCCTTTTAATAAATAAATAAAACTATTTACCAAATTACACAACTATGTACAGTAGTTCATATTCTTGATTTCGTAAAACAGATAATAAATGTTCCTTTAAAGAAATAACCTGGACAAAATATGGATTAGGGGTAGACTGGAAAAATGTTCCTTTGGTAATAATTGTGCCATAGAAATTATAATACGGGCAGGAGGAAGGAGTACATTTTTAAAACTTTTATCTTTTATTTTTAATTTTCTTTTGAGAGGGAGATGATAAGTTACTTACAGTGATCCCCATCTTGGGAAGTATTGTCTCGATAAAGATCCTAGTCTTTCTATAGCAATCAGTGGTTGTGACTAGATGACCCCCAGCAGGAACCAAAGCCAGCAACATTAAAGTACTAGCACACATTCCAGACGCCACTAACAAGGTAGACTCAGCTCCTTCAAGTGCACTGTTACATTAGGAAGAAGAAAAGTGGCCTCAAAACACCTGATACACATAAGCACTAGCATAACTTACAAAATCAAAATTTGGCTATAGAGGTGACCTTATCTTCTCTTCTGCAACAACAGTGGTAGGGTTTCCATAACGCCCATATTCAAAACTTACACGCCTTTTCTCCTGTCATATCAGATCAGCAGAAACACATTATCCAATGCAAAGAGGCAGAATTACCATAGTAAATTTCCCCAAAGTCAATAATAGATTCTATGCATAAAGAGTGTGCATACTAATCAGTGATATACTGATATCTTTCACGAGCATTAGTTCATACATCTGTTTTCCCATGTGCAGCAAGTTATGAAACAGTTTACACAGTAAATAAGACAGGCATCAAAACCTTGAAATCAATAAGCTCAGATGTCTTGTTGAAGAAATAAGCTGACGTGTTAACAACCGGAGTAGTTATTGCATCAGTAACAATACCACGCCCCAATCTTTCACCTGCAGAAAGCAAGAATATGCTGCTTAATTCTTACTCAAACCCCATACTCACACGTTAGTGGAATCCCAAAATCTTCGATGCAATAAAAGACATACTCCGTATTATTATTACATACTTCCCTTGTTTCTTATAAATTTGACATCTTTCTTTTTTTGTTTTTCCCATAAATTTTGACTTTTTTTCTTTTAATCAATTACTACGTAAATACGGAATTAGTAATTCCTATTATTTCGTTATCCTGTGCCCAAAACTCAAACAAAAAAAACTTTTTTTATTACTCACAATTTGAGAAAGTTATAAGGGACAGGAGGAGTATATAAATACTAAAATACGGAGTACATAAGCAATTCCAACCATAGCCCAATTTCTTTATTTTGGGGCAAAAAACCCCAACCATTGTACCAAATCAGGCACCATTGGATGTGAACACATCACCACCAGTAAACACTGTCCAAGTACCATTTTTATGTGATGGAAATTGTGATTAAATAGCACACAAATGGAATGCAAAGAATACTCCTTTTAGTGAGTAATAAAAATTGTGTAAAGGATTAGGGTGAAAGTAATAAATTGATATAAAATTATAAACTATAAGAGATCTCCAATGCTAGAATGATGCTAGAATGTGCACAGCGCACATGTGTCATGAGAGATAGCCACATAAATATTACTCCCTCCGTTCCTAAATAAAATTCCAACTTTACTTTTTCGTCCGTTCCAATTAAAACTTCCACTTTCCCTTTTTGGTAAAGAATTTGTGGTTCACAACATTTCTTACACATTTCTCTCTCCTCTGCACAACTCTCCACCACACAATATCCACTATCTTAAACTTTGTGCCAAACCCATTTGGAAGTTAAAATGGGAACGGAGGTAGTAGTAAATAAATTCTTTATCTCCTTATTTGAATGTTTTTATGCAGTTTTGATAAGTTTTTCTCCACAATGTCAAAGCGACCGTCTAGATGTTGACATTGAAGTTGACATTGCAGGGGAAAAATTACCAAAATTGTATAAAATCCTTCAAATAAGGAGAGAGACAATTTATTTGCTAATATTTATGTGTTTATCTTTTCCACCGTGTTTGGAGCACACTATAGGATTGGAAATGCTCTAAGGGGCTGGAGAGGAGACATCCGTCCACACTGTTTTTACTTTAATACCAAATTTAATGACTTCATTATTTTAGACAGATCTTCCTTCTTGAGAGCAATACGTCCCAACACAATGAATAAAATCTATTCTTGCTCTACAGAAATCATCAATTTTACGTGATCTAACGTCTAATCAAGAAGACAGCCAATTAAATAAGTAAGCATTAGATGCAATTCTAAAACAATAAAAAGGCAAAAGAATATTACCCGCATGAACTGCGACGCTCCCATCTGAACTCAAAAAAGAAGCGTACTTTACATGGGTCAAACCCTGATTCTGTACATTTCGTTCACTACAACTACCGTTCCCCTCCAGCTGCGCCTGCTCGGACACAGGGGAAACCACCTCAGGCGGCGAAATAGATGCGGCGGCGGCGGCATCAATTGCCTTGGCCGCCGGGTGAAATCCAGATGCGGAGTTGTTGTTGGCCCACGAAGCCGCGACGATTTGAGCGACGCCAATGTTGCTGCAGTTCCTCCGAGCCTTGGTGCTGAGCTGCCTGACGAAGTTGGGAGGGAACCTGAAGATCGGAGAAGAGAGGCCGCGAAGAGTAGATCCGTGACTCAGTGATTTGGGACGGAAGGTCGAGCTAGGAAACTCGTGGCGCGGAACTCGGCCGGAGAAATCAGGGTCCGAGCGGCACTCGAAGGAGGGAAACACGGTGGGGTAGCTAGAGATGGCCATCATTTGATTTCCCACCCCTCTTTCTCTCTCTCTCTATCTCTACCTACCTGAAAATGTGAAGAATCGTTGGCGAATTTGAGGGATGAGTTCAAAATAAATAAGCACCCAGAGAGAAGAAGCGGGTTCGTGATGGACCTGGCTAAGCTTGGCTATGGTGTTTCCTGGTTTAGTATTTTGACTCACTACCTGGGATTGAGTTTAACCGTGGTTAGGAAACTGGTTCCAAACTTGCAGGTTTACAGCTCCAAATTTCCCGTATTTTTCGATATATGGCGTAGACTAGGCCAAGTAGTCATGGGTCCGGGTGCAGTCAGTGATAGGTAGTGTCAGCGTTCAAATGCCAATTAGGGCATGTCGGTAAAATTTAATGAAGCAATTAATAAATCTTTTAAAATTACGGAGTAATACGGAGTTGTTGTAAAATCACCAAATTGACAAGTGTGAATGTCCATCCTTATCATTAGGACACCAAGCTACTTCTGATCCTTGTAATAAGCTTACTCATCTAATTTATATCCTTGTAATCATAGTTAGACAGATGGGTAGATCTAATACTGCCAGCAAATTGTGTAGAATCATTCCTAGATGATTCATCCCCAAGTCTGGCTAGTATAAATAGGGCTAATTCAATTCTTTGTAAATAAACTTAGAAACTCAGAAATTTCAGAAAATATTAAAAGATAAAGAAGAAGATATTCAGAGCTTTTATTAATATATCTATCTCTCAAATTTAGTCTTCATCTTCTTCATTTCACAACACGTTATCAGCACGAATCTGCTCAAAATCTTCAAGAAATCATCATCTCCTGCAGTACAATGGCAAATATAAGCAAAAGAGAATTCGATGTTCTTGATCTGTCCGATCAAAAATACTTGGAATGGAAAGTGGATGCCTTGGCACATTTAAAGGCAAATGGATTGGAAGACACCATTGAAACTAATAATCAATCATCTTCCCAAGACAAAGCGAAAGCTATTATTTTTCTCCGTCACCATCTCCATGAAAGTCTCAAATCTGAATATCTTTTGGTTGATGACCCAAAAGAATTATGGGACAATTTACAAGAGAGGTATGGCCACCAACAAAAGGTCCTTTTGCCTAAGGCTCAGTATGACTGGATCAATCTAAGATTCCAGGACATTAAATCAATCAGTGACTATAATTCTGCTATGTTTCAAATAACATCTAAATTAAAGTTATGCGGACAAAAAGTCATTGATGCTGATATGTTGGAGAAAACTTTTTCTACTATGCATATCTCTAACATGCTGCTCCAACAGCAATATAGAGAAAAGGGTTTTAAAAAATACTCCGACTTAATATCAGTATTATTGGTAGCTGAGCAAAATAATGACCTTTTGATGAAAAATCATAATCTGAGACCCACTGGTTCTAGTCCTTCGGTTTATGGTCCATCTGGCCATAATTTAGCCACTGAATCAAATGCAACATATAGTGGCAGTAGAAAGCATTTTAAACGTGGGCATTTTAATGGTCATAAAAACAAGTCACACCGAGAATATAAACAGGTCAATAGACCAAATTATAAGGGCAAGGGCAAACAAAAAGCCCATCAAATAAATCGCCCTCCAAAAACCTCGGTAAAAACGACTTGTTATAAATGTGGCATGACAGGGCATTGGGCTAACAAATGCCGCACTGCAAAACATCTGGTGGAATTATTTCAAGCTTCCATGAACTTGAACAACGGCAAAAATATGGAAGCTAATTATGTCAACGACACGACTCCACCTCTGCCAAAATTTGACGTGTCCGACTTTTTCGCGGATGATGCCATTATGGACGATGCTTTTGCAATAAACCAAAATGTCACAAAATAAAATATTAGACTCTGATCCTTATGTTGTAACATATTAGTTTTATGTATTTTTTTTCTTTCTTCCCTTTTTCTTTTTAAATAAATGTGTGTAATATATGTACTTTGTGTTAAATTATATGCATAATTTGTGATCAAGCTTATGTTCATTTACACATTTTGAAGATATGGATCACTCAAATGATAAAGAGCTATGTCTGATAGACAGTGCCACAATGCACACCATTTTGAGAAATAAAATATATTTTTCTCAAATGACTTTAGTTGAAGCTAAAGTCAATACAATATCAGGTGTTGCGAAGCTCATTGAAGGCTCTGGGAAAGCATATGTGATGCTGCCTAATGGGACAAAAATAATTATAAATGACGCTTTATACTCCAGCAAATCGCGGAGAAATTTATTGAGCTTTAAAGATATGCGTCAAAATGGTTATCACATAGAAACCATGAATGAAAACCAAAAGGAATATCTTTGTCTCACGACAACTAAATCTGGCGCTAAATATTTTTGTGAAAAAATGCCAGCATATTCCTCAGGACTATATTTCACATATATTAGTCCATTCGAAATAAATTTGGTTTCTAACACAAAGTTAGATGATCGGAAAACATTCATGTTGTGGCATGACCGTTTAGGTCACCCAGGTCAAGTAATGATGCATAAAATCATTAAGACTTCACTTGGACACCCATTAAAGAATATCAGGGTTCCAGTATCAAGTGATTTTCCTTGTAAGGCCTGTTCTCTTGGCAAAATGATCATCAAGCCTTCAATGAACAAAATTGCAACTGAATCACCTGCATTTTTAGAAAGGATTCAAGGAGATATTTGTGGGCCGATAGCCCCACCATGTGGACCATTTCGATATTTTATGGTGTTGATTGATGCTTCAACACGTTGGTCACATGTTAGTCTTTTATCGACTAGAAATTTAGCATTTGCTAAACTCCTTGCTCAAATCATACGATTAAGAGCTCATTTTCCGGATCATTCTATAAAGAGAATCCGACTTGACAATGCAGGAGAATTTACATCTCAATCATTTAACGACTATTGTATGTCGATTGGGATTGATGTGGAGCATCCTGTTGCTCATGTCCATACACAAAATGGTCTTGCTGAATCTTTGATTAAACGATTACAATTAATCGCTAGACCATTATTAATGAAGTGTTATTTACCTTCATCAGCTTGGGGACATGCTATTTTACATGCAGCAAATTTAATTCGGCTCAGACCGACTGCATATCATGAATATTCTCCAATGCAATTAGTTACTGGACAAGAGCCAAACTTAGCACACATTAAAATATTTGGTTGTGCTGTTTATGTTCCGATTGCTCCACCTTATCGTACAAAAATGGGTCCTCAAAGAAGGTTGGGAATTTATGTTGGATTTGAATCTCCCTCAATAATCAAATATCTTGAACCGATGACTGGTGACTTATTCACCGCACGGTTCGCTGACTGTCATTTCAATGAGACAGTATTCCCAACCTTAGGGGGAGAAACTAATAAATCGGACCCAAGTACGAAAGAAATAACATGGAATGCAACAGGATTATCACATCTTGACTCAAAATCAAATATATGTGAGCAAGAGGTGCAAAAGATAATCCATTTACAAAATGTTGCAAATCAGTTGCCTGATGCATTCACAGACACAAAGAAAGTGACAAAGTCACATATTCCTGCCATGAATGTCCCTGCCAGAATCGAAATCCCAACAGAGAATTCTGAAAAATCTTTTTCAAACGATTCTTCTATACGCAAAAAGCGTGGCAGGCCACTTGGATCGAAAGATATAAAACCAAGAAAAACTAAAAGGCAGGAATCGATCTGTGATGCCAAAGATGTTCATCCTTTTGAACAAGAAAATGAACAATTTGAAAATATTGGCATAGAAAATGATATTGACAAAACAAATATCTCAAATGATGATCCAACTTCCTTAAATGAGGAAGATATTCCAGATAATGATAGAAACGTTGATAATTATGAAATTTCAATAAACTACGTTTCTACTGGAATGCAATGGAATCGTAAAGATATTGATATTAATGAGATATTTGTCTATGCCGTTGCCACAAATGTTATGAATGAAAACAATGACAATGAGCCAACATCAATAGAAGAATGTCGGAAACGACACGATTGGCCAAAATGGAATGAAGCAATTCAGGCTGAATTGAAATCACTTGAAAAACGTGATGTTTTTGGACCAATAGTCCCTACGCCAAAAGGCGTAAAACCAGTAGGCTTTAAATGGGTATTTGTGCGTAAACGCAATGAGAAAAATGAAATTGTAAGATATAAAGCCCGACTTGTTGCCCAAGGGTTTTCTCAAATGCCGGGAATTGATTATGAAGAAACCTATTCTCCAGTAGTTGATGCAACTACATTAAGGTTTCTCATTGGCATGTCTGTTTTTGAAAGGCTGCAAATGCGCCTAATGGATGTAGTAACTGCATATTTATACGGTTCACTCGATACAGACATTTATATGAAAGTTCCCGGAGGATTTAAAATGCCTGAAGCTTATAGCTCGAAACCTCGAGAAATGTTTTCCATTAAACTACAAAAGTCATTGTATGGACTAAAACAATCTGGACGAATGTGGTATAATCGTCTCAGTGAATACCTTCTTAAGGAAGGATATAAGAATGATCCAATTAGTCCATGTGTTTTCATTCGGCGATTAAATTCGGGATTCACCATAATTGCAGTATATGTTGATGACTTAAATATTATTGGAACTCCCGATGAGATTGAAAATACTGCAAAATATCTTATGAAAGAATTTGAAATGAAAGATCTAGGGAGAACCAATTATTGTCTCGGACTTCAAATTGAGCATTTGAAGAATGGAATTTTCATCCATCAATCCAATTACACCGAAAAAGTTTTGAAGAGATTCTATATGGACAAAGCTCATCCTTTGACTTCACCAATGGTCATTCGATCTCTCAACATACATGATGATCCATTCCGTCCCCAAGAAGACGACGAAGAAATACTCGGTCCAGAAGTACCATATCTGAGTGCTATAGGAGCTTTAATGTATTTAGCTAATAATACTAGACCAGATATTGCATTTTCTGTAAATTTATTAGCTAGGTACAGCTCATGTCCAACAAGGCGTCATTGGAACGGGATCAAACACATATTCCGTTATCTTCGCGGTACAACTGATCTCGGCCTATTCTACCACAAAGATGAAAAAGCCGATTTAATCGGATATGCAGACGCTGGATACTTATCAGATCCTCAAAAGGCGAAATCACAAACCGGGTACGTATTTACTTATGGTAACACCGCAATCTCATGGAGATCTATGAAGCAGACATTGACAGCTACATCATCAAATCATTCGGAGTTAATTGCATTATATGAAACCGGAAGAGAATGTGTGTGGCTACGGTCTATGATTCAACACATCCAAAATG